TCTCATGTTATGTATGTATTAAAAAAGTCCATGTAATATAAAATACAATACAATGGACGCTATTAACTATTTTTCATATTGAGAAAATAATTTCTTAAAAAGCTAACCATTACATGTTTTAATTGAAAATGAAAGCATTTTGGCTGGAAAATAGATATTATTTGATAAAATTAGCAAAATAAATACTCTTAATAAAACAAAACATATAGAAAAAACCACTTTCAATTATATGATTTGAAACAAACTACTATTAATAGAATCCAAAATATAAATAATGTTGATCCATATTTGAAATCTAGGTTTTCAAATCAAGACTACATAGTAATATTATAATAATCTATTTTCTCCTAATCTATTTTTTCTTCCACTAAATTATTATTCGCGTGCCTGCATAGTGCATACGTTCAATAGATGAAAAATGTTTTTACTTCTAAGAAAGAAAAAATTGACATTTAACAGAAATAGATCCAGAGCCATCAATACAAATAGTATGAGAATATTCATCTGGTTTAATTCCCTCCAAAACCATCAAACCCAACCTCCTAAAAGCCAATTCAGCTTCCCCATTGTAAAGATAACCTGACATCATCTCATTCCAAGTAAAATTCCTCTATCCAGCACCAACTCAAACACTCTCTCAGCATAAGCAACACAATGACACTTTATATAAAACCCAATCAACCCATTACAAACAACACGATCAAAAGGCCTTTTAATCGCTTGGGCATGAATCTCTCGGCCCAAGTTCAACCCTTTGATGCCCGAACAAGCGACTAGAGCGTTGGAGAATGAGAACGCGTCTGGAGCTACATCGGAACCTCTCATCCTCGGAAAGAAGGATAGTGATTTTTTGGTGAAAACTCAGATGGGCATGGCCAGTTATCATTGAAGTCCAAGCGACGAGGTCTCTGTGAGGCAGTTCATCAAACGTCTGGTGGGCATCGACGAGGAGATTGGATTTGACGCAAGAGTTGATGAGAGAGGTTACGAGGATTGTGGAGTTAGAGAGGCTGAGCTTGATGATGCGAGAGTGGATGGCTTTGAGGTGCTTTTGAGAAAATGGTGGGGATTTCAGGAGTTTGGAGAGGGTGTATTCAGGGAGTGCACAGGATGAGGATGTCATTGCATCGTGGATATCCAATAGTATTTAGGGTGCCCTTTCCTTTATTTTTTCTCCTCCTCTTGTTTTCCGGGTTGGGATTTAAATGACCGTTCGGATAGAAAATAAGGAGAAGAAGGGAATCAAAGATTTGTTCTTCGTTTCTCAGTAAATCTCTGTTTTGTTAAATACCTGATGCGACCTCCATATGTTTGGTTCTGGACTCTTTTAGACATGACTTCTACTCAAATCCTCACATTATTTGAAATTTCAATGCAAAAATGCATACATCCCGCTGAAATAAGCTGATCTTTCCAGATTTGTTTTTGATTTTCTCTCATAACCTTGCAGAAAAAATTATTTTTGGATTTTTTCTCCATATGTTTGATCTTTTTTTAGATCAGAAATTATAATAATTTTCATAGCACTTTTATCTCCTTCAACAAATATGTGACTTTGTTATTTTCTTCTTATTATATTAGTTTAGATTGTTTAAAAGTTATTAATTATAAAATTGCAATAATTTTCACATCATTTCATCTATTTTCTTCATATTAGATTAGATTAGATTATTTTAAAGCAATTACTTATATTGTATGTTTGATCTTCTTTCAGATCATAAAGTTTAATTATACTATTATTATTTAAATAGATATTATTATAAGGATGTTTGTAATTTTTATATTCCGTACGGGTCTGTTAGAATTTTTTTGAGTTTTTTTTGTAATTTCGGGTTTAAAGGGGGTTATTTGTAATTTTTTAATTCTTTAAGGAGTTGTTGGTAATTTAGGAGGTTGCTTGAAGGTTTTGAATTTTTAGAGTTTGTTTGCAATTTGAAAACCTTTTAGGGTTTTTTTGCAATTTCAAACCCTTTAGATTTTGTTCGTAATTTTGTGATCTTTTAGGGGATTGTTTGTAATTTTCTTAAGTTTTAGATTTTTTTTTTGTGATTTTCATATTTTTTATTGGTCTATTGTAATCTATTATTTTTTAAGAATTTCATGTTTTTCTGGGAGCTTTTGCAAGTTTTAAAAGATTTTTAGGGCTATCGTAATTTTTAAAATTTTCTATGGGAGTGTTACAATTTTTGTACTTTTAAGGGGATTATTTGAAATTATCATACTTTTTAGGCGTTGTTTGTAATTCTTAAATTTAAGGGGCTTTGAAAATTCAAGATCTTTTAGGGCAGCTGTTTGTATTTGTTTATGTGGCAATTTAAAACTTTTAGATTTTGAGGTGTCTATTTAAAATTTTTATTTTCCCAAGGGTTGTTTTGTAATTTTTAGATTTCTTTGTTTAAATATAAATTTGATATGTATACAAATTTTCATGTATGATTTTATGTAACTTTCCTGCCTATTTTGTTTCATTAATACTCTTTCTTCTTCACTTGTAAGGCCAATTGAAATAATGGATTCTCGTTTCTAGATACTAACTAAAGAAATTGCCGACCATCTAAACATAATATTCATTGTTTTTTCTGCACAAACTGAGATACATCTTATTAGTATCCCTAGATTTACAAATAATTCATTCCCGTATCATGGTCTACGAAATCTAGGTGCGTAAACAGACGGCACCCACTGTTTACGAAAAATTTCATAACACTTGCTAATTTTAATAACACTTAAGTTTTCGTAATGCATGTTGTTTGATTACTTACTAAGTACCATCAAAATTATTGTTTAGAAAGAATAGTTGACTAATTTATTCTAAACTCCCTTGATTAAGGTGAATTATAATTTTTAAGTATATTTTTGTCCCCTATTGTTGTTGATATAAATTTCATATGGTTTTTCATTTTCTGACACATATTTTTTTACCTATAGGATAATATCATCTCAATTCCAATTTTGTATTCAAGATTTATTCCATAATTACGGGTATCAGGTTAGTGTAGAATATCAATAATTTTTTTATATTGTGATAATGATTATAGTTGATTGTTTACTTTTGAATTTTTATAAAAATTTTCACTAATTTGTCCAACTATCTGCATTGCTCATATATATTCATAAATTAATAGTAATATGACATATGATTTTCCTTTGTAGAAATTTATTCTCTGGTTTTTGGATATCATAACTACTATACAACACTTTCTTGCCTAACATGGCTTTAAGCCAAGGTTTGCATTAAACTCAATAATGAATTATTCATATATTATTATATTAGTATATGTGTATGTATCAATAATGAATTATTCATATATTATTATATTAGTATATGTGTATGTATTTATAATACTACATGAACATCTTTTTAAATAGAAGAGAACACTCCAATACCCAGAATTAAAAAGACTAAATATTCTCGGTTGAGTGATGAGCAAAAGAAATCTTACATTCAGAGAATTACAGATAATAAGAGAAAGCGACACAGTAATGACTCTTCTGGTAATACTATTAATGTCAAACGATAACGTAAAGTTGACCTATGTTGTGCAGCCCTTCTACTGGCCTATAAGCATGAAGGTTGGTGTACATATACTTTATAGTTTATTGAAAGAGCCATATAACATTATATATTAGTTTATTAAATATTTATATTTGTTCTAGGGCAAATTCTTCATGAACCGGTATGTTCTTTACTATATAAGCTACGCACTCCAAAGTCTTGTGCATATTGAGGATCCAAAAAGTTTGAACATGAGCCTCCAATATTTTGTTGTCACAACGGTGAAATCCACCTAGCAGATGTGAATATTTCAAATGAATTATTTGTCTTTTATATAATGCAAACACCAGAGGCAATTGAGTTCCGAAGCCATACCAGAATGTACAACAGTATTTTCTCATTCACATCGTTTGGGGCAAGATTTGATAAAGAGCTCGCATCAAATAGAAAATGAGTTTTCACATTTAGACCACAAGGACAAATATATCATAATCTCCCAGCTCTAATTCCAAAGGAAAATAAGCCTTCATACTTTCAGCTTTACTTCTATGATACAGAGAATGAGTTGCAAAATCGATTGGGAATTCTACACAAGGCAAATATGAGTGAAATCACAACTAAGAGCTTGATAGATATATTACAAGGAAACTCATATGCAAAGTTTCTTCGCAAATTGAATGATTATCAATCTTTTGAAGAATTAAAGATACTAATAAATAGTGACGTTGTACTAGATCAACGTGTTTATAACTCACCAACAGCAGATCAGGTGGCTGTAATCTGGGTTGAAGGAAATAATGACAATGCACCATTTGAGAGAGAGATTATTGCCCATGCACACTCAGGAGGAAGACATCAAGTGAAACACTATTTAGGCTGTTATGATCCACTGCAGTATCCATTACTCTTTCCAAATGGAGAGGTTGGATGACATCAAAATATTAAAAGAATGGATAAATGCGATATTAGAACTTACAATCAACAAAGAACTATAATACCAACTTCAATATCTCCACCTACCTTCACATATGCAGAAGACATATTTAACCGAGAAAGTGAATGTAAAATTTAATTCACATTTCTAAGTAATATTATTATATATGAATATAGATTAACGCCTAAATTTACAGGCGTCAAGGCACCAAAACCCAAAAAAGTTTCATGCCGAGATTATTATTGTCATAAGCTCCAGATAAGAGACACTCGACAATCTTTTATACTTACATCAGCAGGTCATTTATTCCATTAATATGTTGTTGATATGTACATAAAGCTTGAAACAACAAGGCTTGATTACTTTAGAAATAAACAATCATAAATCAGAGCAGAGTTATTCCAAGGCATTGTCGACAGTGTAGCTGTCGGCGAAGCAAATGCAAGCCAAGTGGGCAAAAGAATAGTTCTTCCATCATCATTCATAAGTGGTCCTAGAGACATGCGTCGCAGATACCTTGATGCAATGTCATTAGTACAACGATTTGGAAAGCCAGATCTTTTTATAACAATGACATGTAATCCAGAATGGGAAGAGATCATTGAGCAACTACATCCAGGCCAAAGCCATAATGACAGGCCAGACCTAACCTCAAGGATATTTCGAGCAAAGCTCCAAGACTTGAAAGTTCAACTATTTAAGAAGGAGATCTTTAGGAAAGTTGTCGCACATGTTCATGTGATTGAGTTTCAAAAAAGAGGGCTACCACATGTACATATATTAATAATTCTTATTGAAGATTACAAGATCACATCATCAGATCAGTATGATAAATATGTATCTGCAGAAATTCCAGACCAATCCAAACACCCTGATAAATATGTATCTGCAGAAATTCCAGACCAATCCAAACACCCGATCCTCTATGAATTGGTAAAAAAACATATGATGCACGGACCTTGTGGAGAGTTGAACATGAAGAACAGTTGCATGAAAAATGAAGAATGCAAATATCACTATCCTCACGATTTTAGCTCACAATCAATTCAAGCAAAAGATGCTTACCCAATTTATAAGAGAAGGAATGATAACAAAACAATGTTGGTCTGCAATAAAATCCTTAATAATCAGTAGGTTGTACCTTACAATCCATATTTGCTGACACGTTATAATTTTCATATTAATGTTGAAATATGCTCAGGCATTAAAGCAGTGAAGTATCTTTACAAATACATATATAAGGGTCATGAAATATGCTCAGGCATTAAAGCAGTGAAGTATCTTTACAAATACATATATAAGGGTCATGATAAAGTGGCAGTAAACATTGAATAATACATATATAAGGGTCATGATAAAGTGGCAGTAAACATTGAATATAATGAAGGAGGAAGACTTGTGATGAAATCAAAAATTTTTAAGATGCAAGATGGGTATCAGCTCAAGAAGCTTTGTGAAGAATATATGAATTCTATCTTAATGAGATCTACCCAGCTGTCATCAACTTACAACTACACTTGCCGAATCAACAATTTGTTTCCTATTGGAAAAGTCAAGATCTATCGAAGCTCATCCGCTTGGACCATGTCCACAAGACGATGCTTACAGAATTTTTTACACTATGTTCAAAAATTAAAGAAGCCAACAAATCAAAACCAAAAAAGGATCAAGAAAAGGAGTTATTATATTGTGAACTTCCCGAATATTATGTTTGGGATTCGACAACAAAATGTTTGAGTCTAAGAAAACAAAGACATGTTATAGGCCGTATAAATGGTGCTAATCCATTTGAAGGGGAAAGATATTACTTACGCCTTTTACGTACTTACATCAAGTGTCTCACCTCATTTGAGAATCTATTGACCGTGGATGGAATTCAATGCACATCATTCAAACATTCAGCTCAAAAATTAGGTTTATTAGAATCTGATAATTGCATCAGAGAATGCTTAGATGAAGCCGTCATCTTTCAAATGCCAGCAACCCTTCGCCGCCTGTTTACAACCATACTGGTTCACTGTGAGCCCGCAGATGTTAATAAATTATGGGATCGATACCTTGACTCATTATCTGAAGACTTCTCAAGGAAACCTGGTGCTACGAAAGTTTCGATTATAAACGACACCCTTTGCAACATTAAATTCTTCTTAGAGAGCATGGGAAAGGATATCAAGAAATTTGATTTACCGCCTATTCAAACTAACCCTCATTCAAAAGGAAGTTCATACCCAAGAGAAATTCAAGATGAACTCAATGTACAAATTCCAGATGAAGACCTCAATGCTGAATCATCACTCAATTCAGAACAATATAATGCATACCAGATGAAGACCTCAATGCTGAATCATCACTCAATTCAGAACAATATAATGCATACACTTCCGTACTAACACGAATTCAAGGAAATAAAAGCGAGGTTTTCTTTATTGATGGGCCAGGAGGAATTGGGAAGAGATTCTTATACCGTGCTTTGCTAGCCAAAGTAAGATCAGAAGGGGTGATAGCTCTTGCTACAGCGACATCAGGCGTGGCAGCAGTAATAATGCCTGGAGGTCGAACAGCACATTCCAGATTTAAGATAAAAATCCCAACAACAGAATCATCTATGTGTAGCATATCCAAGCAAGATGGAACCGCAAAGCCGATTAAGATAGCTAAGTTAATAATTTGGGATGAAGCTCCAATGGCTAAACGTGTTGCAATTGAAACATTAGATAGAACATTAAGGGATATAATGGATCAAGATGAACCATTTGGTGGAAAAGTAATAGTATTTGGTAGGGATTTCAGACAAGTTTTACCAGTAGTACCCCGCGCAACAAGATCACAAACTGTTAGAGAAAGTTTAGTAAGCTCATATTTGTGGAGCAAAATAGAAAAGTTGAAGCTATCGAAGAATATGAAAGCAAGAACAGATTCAACATTTAGCGAATTCCTTTTAAGAGTTGGAAATGGCGATAAACCGACAGTGACTGATGACCTAATAGCATTGCCCACTTCTATTTTGATAAAGAATCAAAGTGATGATTTACCAGAAGATTGTCTAATAAATGCAATTTTCCCATCTTTAGATGAGAACTTCAAATCCATTGACTATATGAAAGATCGAGCTATCCTGGCAACAAAAAATGAATATGTCGACATGCTAAATGATAGAATCATAAAACAATTTCCAGGTGAAGAAAAAGAATTCTACAGCTTTGATGAAGCAGTTGATGACACTAATCATCACTACCAGCCAGAATTCTTAAACACGTTGCTACCAAATGGACTACCACCCCACAAGCTGATATTAAAGAAACATTGTCCTATTATTTTATTAAGGAACCTGGATCCGACTAATGGGCTATGCAACAGAACAAGAATGGTATGTCAAGATTTTAATTGTAATATAATCCACGCTAAGATCACAATGGGCCAACATGCAGGGAAAGAAGTTTTCTTGCCAAGAATACCATTATCTCCAGCAGAAAATGAAGGGTTCCCGTTCAAGTTCAAACGAAAGCAATTTCCAATACGGCTATGTTTTGCAATGACAATCAATAAATCACAAGGACAAACAATTCCTCATGTAGGCATCTATCTACCTCAACACGTTTTCTCTCATGGACAGATTCCTCATGTAGGCATCTATCTACCTCAACACGTTTTCTCTCATGGACAGCTGTATGTTGCTTTATCATGAGGGACTTTAATGACAACAACCAAAATCCTAATAATATCATACGGACAATTTAAAGAATATGAAAGATACACAAAAAAAATAGTATACAAGGAAGTCCTCCAGCCAACAAACATGAAATGAACTTCAAAGTCGCAATAGCTATTCTAAAGGTAATTAATTTATAAGAATAATTGCGTATGTTCATTCATATTCATTCCTATAATTTATAATTTTCAATATTGTATAACTTTTTCCCTTTAGCATTCACTTTTTAACCCTACTCAAACTATATTATTAGTTAAAAATATTCAAAATCTTATGAGGAACAAGAATTAATAAATTCATTTTCTATGATATAGTATATTCTATAATATTGTTCAAAACTAACATGTATATTTTAATCTATTTAACAGAAAATATAATTACCGGTATTGAAGAACATACTCAGCACATCCAAATAAGCCAGCTCAAGAAAGTTTCAGAAAGAATGGACCATTCATGTTATCATACTTCGAAGTGCAGAGGCAACTTATAAAAATGCAAAAGGGTCAGGGAAAATACTAAAGCTGATTCTTGCTGACGCAAAGGTAAAATAAAATTATTTTTAATATTATATTGTTTGCCCAACGTTACATCTGATCATATGAATATTGCTAAATCTCATTTTCTAATCGGTAAATTACATTAAAACACCGATAACTATCAGAATGGCTTTTTATGATGTTTCCCTGTTTACATATAATATATAGATTAGTATTAATTAATTATATTTTTCATAAATTGATCTCTGGTGTTAATAATATTTGCAGGGTAACAAAATACAAGCAGTAATGTACAGAGAGACTATCAAAAAGTTTATAGATATGCTTCAAAAAAATCAAATTATTTTCATTTCAATTGGAGAAGTGAAAGGAATAAACCTAGCTTTTCCAAGTATCCACAAGTCACTTGAATTAGTACTAACAAAAGACGTATCGATCAAAGAAGCACCTACAGGATTCCACTTGGAGAACATATTTAACAACTTTGTCCAATTTGAAAAAGCATTTTCCATGAAAGATGCAACAAAAATTAGTAAGTACTTACCAACTTCTTACTTAAATCTTCAATACAAAATGAGACATTAATCTACAGAATCATAATCTTTTTATCAAATCACTTGCAGATATTCTTGCAATAATAACTAATGTTAAGCCGGCGATCAACTATATTACAAGACACAACAAACCAGACACTAGGAGGGAAAATCACGCTTATGGATGTTAGACCCTAGAGGGGGGGTGATTAGGGTCTTATGCTAATCTAATCCGATTAAATGCCAATTAAAATTAATTAATAAGTTATCCTAGCAAGTATGAAATACAACAATGTATATGAGCTAGGATAAGCAATATGAACAACAAGATATATCCTAACAAAGAGATATAGGCAATGTATGTGCAAGGATATATAAGCTCAAGGGTAAACAATCTAAACAAGATAGTAGATGAAATAAATGAGCAGTGCACAATTGGCGATATAAGATGAATGTGAAAACAAACACGCCAAAGACAAACTCAAACAAGCAATATGATCACGGAGTTCGGACCTTCTGTCCTACGTCTCCGCTCCCCACTCCCGGGGAGAAATCCACTATCAACCGGGTTTTCTACGTTCACCCGAATAACGTTTACACCTCACACTCGGTTTTTTAGCTAACCGAAAACTTTACAATCAACACACTATTGTAATCCCACTCTACACCCACTAAGTGTTGGACCTAGCCGTGTCTCCCTCAAGTGCTCGATTATAACCTCTCCCTAGGCTCGTCAACCGACGCCACTCCTCTTGGGACGATCCCTGACTCTCACCACACACTCCTCACTCGGTGTACAAGTGTATTACAAAGTGAATCTCACAATAAGGCTCAATACAATAATTGATTGTTCTCAACTATGGATGAGAACATAATAAAAGCACAATTCAAAGTTACAATCTCTCACCATCCAACTATATTATGTATGTAAATACTAAAAGCTCAATGTGGGTGTGTGTAACAATGAGTAAAATAAAATCTAACTCAAATAGCAAACTAGCAATGATAAGAAAATGAAAATCAATAATGGAATTGCTAGAGAAAAGAGTTAGAAAACTTCTCCATAAACACAAAGAAGAGGATGAAGAGGATTGAGAATGAATCCCTCAATCTGCAGTGAAAACTTCCTCCTTTGTAAACAGAAACCCAAACTTAAACAAACAGTAAAAAACTTTAAACCCTTGTTTAAAACATTGTTTAAAAACTTCTTGGATTTGTTTGAAAGAGAGCAGCAATAGGGTATTTATACCCACTCTAAATCTCAGTCAAAACCCCTAACAAAAGACAAAAATAGCCCCAGCAAACAGCTCAGGAAAAATAGCCGTTGGAAGCAACGTATCTATTGTCGGTCGATCGGCGGAAATATCGGTCGACCGACAGAGAACAAAAACACTGAAAACAGTTCTGGACCATCGTCGGGCGGCCCGGGCGGTCGACCGATGGAGCTCTCGGTCGACCGGACCGACCAACTCTCTGTTGCATGGTGACGAAAGAATAAATGATCGGTCGACCGGATCGGTCGACCGAAAACTGATATGCCAGAAAAACTGATTTGCTGATTTTAAAACGCTGTTTAAAAATATCAAATAAATTCCAAAAAATGTAAAACTTTGGGGAATGATTGTAGACATGATAATAAACATGCTACATCGACTGGTTATCAGAAAGGACCTCCTAAATGAAAAATATCATCATTTTACAAAATAGTCCAAAACATAAAAATATGAGATACTTGAATTTTGATGTTTTGACATAAACCAACTTTTGAAACTTTGTGAAATGTTTTTATAGACTTAGTAAAACATGTATAAACTGATATTGAAGTCTACAAACTAATAAGATAGTATTTTCACAAAATTGCATATTCTATGCAATGTTTTCAAAAAACACAATAGAAGATATGAAATATATAATTTCAAATATATAGTCATAAAAACTCAAAACACATGTATGTATATATATACCTATATATGTACATGTTGCGGATGAAGCTAAACTTGGATCTTGAACTTGAATTGTACAATGCTTCACTCTACAATTCCGCCAACCTCCTCTTGATATGATCGTGTAGGCTTAATCCATCCAACCTCCAAGATGTTATTTGCCTAGAATAAATACAAAATACAAATACTAGACGAACAACATTAGAAGTAAATTGTTTGTTAAACATCATCAAAACAAGAAGGCCAACAATGGATATAAGGTATATTCATGTTACTTATTTCCAATATCATAAGAGAAAAAAATATTAACGTTCTTTCTTTTTCATATGCAGTGGAATGCCAATGCGTACAACTTTATTTGGAGATTTGGCTACAAATGAAGGATCAATTCTTAAAGCAGAAATCAAATATAAGCCTGTAATAGCATTATCAGATTTTAAAATCTCTATATATCAAGGTACATAAATTATTACTGAAATTCTTATTAAAGATAACTAAACATAAAATTACTCCTATAATTTTCTCATTTTTGCAGGAGATACAAGCATATCGTCGCAAATTATTTCAACATTATGTATCAACCCAAACATAGAACTAGCTAGCGAATTAAGGGAATGGTAAGCAGAACAAGCATACTTTAATATAACCCAATAATGAAATATTATTACATTTTAATCTAATATGCAGGTTTCAATTGGAAGAATCTGCAAAAGCAAAAGGATCTCCATCGACGCTTTTTAAAAATGCCAAGGAAATTCATATTAGTGATATTATGCATAAGTCACAGAATTCGATACAGGTACAATATTATATACATATTCTTATCTACAAATTTAAATCTAACTAAATTTTATTAATATACAGGCACAATATTGCACATTTAAGGCAAAGATAACTACTATTTTAAATAGGCTCGAGCCATGGTTCTATGCTTGCAACAAGAAGGTTGATAAAGATGTTAGTAAAGAGTGTCTGAATAACAAATGCCGTAGAATCATTGATGACCTAGTACCAAGGTTAAGTAATATATATTTTTTAATGCCATGAACATATTAAAATACAATACTAATTGTCTTTAGAAATTAACAATGAAAAATACAGGTACTTAGTTAAGATTCTCGTGGAAAATGACACGGATAATGCAAGAGTAACACTCTTTGACGCAGCAGAAATTTTTATTGGATGCAAAGCAAAAACATTCATTACAGAAAAGAAAGAGGTAATTCCTAACTCTATTCAAGTAATAAATTAGAAAATAAACAAATTCATAAGTATTAATATAACATTTGTTCTCATTGCAACAGAAAAATAATCAGAGTCCATATTTTCAAAAATTTGTTTTGAACATCGGAAAAACATTCAAATTCCTGGTGAAGTTAGATGAAAAGACAAAAGATGAACGAGGCGAAGGCAATATAATAGCACAAGAAATTCAACTCCAGCTTGATATTACAATCGACGTAGATAATGAAGATGCTACTCTAGAGTTGCCCAGAAAAAAGATAAAGGTGGAAAAAGATTGATCTTGGTTCAATTAGAAATTTTCAAGAACAATATTTTTTAATCATTTAATATAATAATTTAATTTTAATTACAATTAGGAATTTTTATAAGGTATTTTTATGCAAAGTTATTAGTAGTTTTGTATGCTTATGTGATTGCTTACATCACATAAAATTACACTTTGATATTTAACCATTTTACTATATTTTATTATTGTCTATGGATATGATCCTGCATTTCGTGAGAGGCAATCGATAAAAATATGATTTTATTGATCCTGTAAATGGATATATTGTCAGATAGACATAAAATACTCTTCCTGATAGCTAGCGCAGCATGTGATCAATCATTTATGATATAAAGGTGACCTCTTTAACCAATTGGCAAAGAATAACTATTATGATGAATTTGCTTGGGGTTGTCACAAACCTCAATATTCTTTGTTTTCAAAAAAAAATTGGCTTACTAATTATTACTTGTTGAGATTGTTGCCATGTTGAATAAACAAAGGTAAATATCCTAGCAATGAGATATACTATGAGATATATGCAAGGATATATGAGCTAACACAAGATGATATATCCTATCAAAGAGATATACAATATGATATATGTATAGGATATGTAAACTAACACAAGGGGTAAACAATCTAAACAAGATAGTGGATGATATAAATAATGAGCTAATGACAATGGCGATAAGAAATATAAACACAAGTATAAATAAACGCCAAAGCACACTCAAACACAAGATATGATCACGGAGTTCGGACCTTCCGTCCTACGTCTCCGCTCCCCACTCCCGGGGAGAAATCCACTATCAACCGGGTTTTCTACGTTCACCCGAATAACGTTTACACCTCACAGTATCGGTTTTCAACGCTCACCGATCAACGTCACTCCTCACACTCGGTTTCTAGCTCACCGAAAACCTCACTACACACTCGGTTTCTAGCTCACCGAAAACCTTACAACACTCACAATGTAACAAATATAAATTTGTTCTCTACAATAGATGAGAACACAATGAAAGCACAACTCAAAGTTACAATCTCTCACCACCCAACTATACTATGTATGAAAGATACAATAAGCTCAATGTGGGTGTGTGTGTAACAATGAGTAAATAAGATCAAATCAACTAAACTCAAGTATGAAATCTAGCTTAAGAACAATGATAATCAATCAAGTATATAAATGTAAAGCTAGAGTTTGAGTTTAGAAAACTTCTCAATTTGATAACAAGAGATGGAGGGATGATAGTTGGAAGCTCAAACTTCAATAGATAATCTCCTCAAGCTCTTGTGGAATTTGATTCACCAAAACAAACTCTCAATTTGCTTAAAAGCTTTTTAAACACACTTAAACCAAACTAAAACCCTTGTTAAAAACTTTATTAAACTTGATTAAAAACTCTCTTAGTTGGTTTGAAAAGACATCAGCAATGGGGTATATATACCCACTCAAAGCTCAGCCAAAACCCCCAAGCCAAATGACAAAACAGCCCCAGCAAACAACTCAGGAAAATAGCCGTTAGAAGACAACGGCTAGATTGTCGGTCGACCGAAAATTCCGTCGGTCGACCGATGGAAAAATTCGGTCGACCGATGGAAAGTTCGGTCGACCGTTATCCAGGTCGAAAACGAGAAACCACAAGCTGACATCTTCGGTCGACCGGTGCGGTCGACCGATGGAGCTTTCGGTCGACCGGACCGGTCGACCGACAGACTCTCTGTCGCCCAATGCTGAAAAACCAACTGATCGGTCGACCGGGTCGGTCGACCGAAATCTGACACAGCTGAAAAACCTGATTTGCTGATTTTAAAAAGCTGTTTAAAAATATCAAATAAATTCTAAAAAATGTAAAACTTTGGGGAATGATTGTAGACATGATAATAAACATGCTACAATGACTGGTTATCAAAAAGGACTTCCCAAATGAAAAATATCATCATTTTACAAAATAGTCCAAAACATAAAAATATGAGATACTTGAATTTTGATGTTTTGACATAAACCAACTTTTGAAACTTTGTGAAATGTTTTTATAGACTTAGTAAAACATGTATAAACTGATATTGAAGTCTACAAACTAATAAGATAGTATTTTCACAAAATTGCATATTCTATGCAATGTTTTCAAAAAACACAATAGAAGATATGAAATATATAATTTCAAATATATAGTCATAAAAACTCAAAACACATGTATGTATATATATACCTATATATGTACATGTTGCGGATGAAGCTAAACTTGGATCTTGAACTTGAATTGTACAATGCTTCACTCTACAATTCCGCCAACCTCCTCTTGATATGATCGTGTAGGCTTAATCCATCCAACCTCCAAGATGTTATTTGCCTAGAATAAATACAAAATACAAATACTAGACGAACAACATTAGAAGTAAATTGTTTGTTAAACATCATCAAAACAAGAAGGCCAACAATGGATATAAGGTATATTCATGTTACTTATTTCCAATATCATAAGAGAAAAAAATATTAACGTTCTTTCTTTTTCATATGCAGTGGAATGCCAATGCGTACAACTTTATTTGGAGATTTGGCTACAAATGAAGGATCAATTCTTAAAGCAGAAATCAAATATAAGCCTGTAATAGCATTATCAGATTTTAAAATCTCTATATATCAAGGTACATAAATTATTACTGAAATTCTTATTAAAGATAACTAAACATAAAATTACTCCTATAATTTTCTCATTTTTGCAGGAGATACAAGCATATCGTCGCAAATTATTTCAACATTATGTATCAACCCAAAAATAGAACTAGCTAGCGAATTAAGGGAATGGTAAGCAGAACAAGCATACTTTCATATAACCCAATAATGAAATATTATTACATTTTAATCTAATATGCAGGTTTCAATTGGAAGAATCTGCAAAAGCAAAAGGATCTCCATCGACGCTTTTTAAAAATGCCAAGGAAATTCATATTAGTGATATTATGCATAAGTCACAGAATTCGATACAGGTACAATATTATATACATATTCTTATCTACAAATTTAAATCTAACTAAATTTTATTAATATACAGGCACAATATTGCACATTTAAGGCAAAGATAACTACTATTTTAAATAGGCTCGAGCCATGGTTCTATGCTTGCAACAAGAAGGTTGATAAAGATGTTAGTAAAGAGTGTCTGAATAACAAATGCCGTAGAATCATTGATGACCTAGTACCAAGGTTAAGTAATATATATTTTTTAATGCCATGAACATATTAAAATACAATACTAATTGTCTTTAGAAATTAACAAAGAAAAATACAGGTACTTAGTTAAGATTCTCGTGAAAAATGGCACGGATAATGCAAGAGTAACACTCTTTGACGCAGCAGAAATTTTTATTGGATGCAAAGCAAAAACATTCATTACAGAAAAGAAAGAGGTAATTCCTAACTCTATTCAAGTAATCGCTGAAGCTTCAGCAAAACATGAACAAGCTGGGGGGTGATACGTCCCTACCCCATCGAATGGGACACGATCCCATACCCAGCGAAGTTCATGCCGATCAGTTTGGTACAGTTTGATGGCAAGGGGTCACCCTCGCAACACATCTATTACTTCATGGCTCAGACATTTGTTCTCATTGCAACAGAAAAATAATCAGAGTCCATATTTTCAAAAATTTGTTTTGAACATCGGAAAAACATTCAAATTCCTGGTGAAGTTAGGTGAAAAGACAAAAGATGAACGAGGCGAAGGCAATATAATAGCACAAGAAATTCAACTCCAGCTTGATATTACAATCGACGTAGATAATGAAGATGCTACTCTAGAGTTGCCCAGAAAAAAGATAAAGGTGGAAAAAGATTGATCTTGGTTCAATTAGAAATTTTCAAGAACAATATTTTTTAATCATTTAATATAATAATTTAATTTTTGATTATAATTAGGAATTTTTATAAGGCATTTTCATGCAAAGTTATTAGTAGTTTTGTATGCTTATGTGATTGCTTACATCACATAAAATTACACTTTGATATTTAACAATTTTACTATATTTTATTATTGTCTATGGATATGATCCTGTATTTCGTGAGAGACAATCGATAAAAATCTGCTTTTATTGATCCTGTGAATGGAAATATTGTCAGATAGACATAAAATACTCTTCCTGATATCTAGCACAACATGTGATCAATCATTTATGATATAAAGGTGACCTCTTTAACCAATTGGCAAAGAATTACTATTGTGATGAATTTGCTTGGGGTTGTCACAAACTTCAATATTCATTGTTTTCAAAAAAAAAAAAAAAACCTTTGGTTAAGGACGTTTTCTCACCAAATAAAATAAAGTAAAATCTCTCTCGGGGAAAATTTGGGCCTCTAGCTGTACTATTTTAGAGACAATCGGGCTTACAAGAAAGCCTGTAACCATTGGGTTTGGTGTACAAGCTCATTCGGTGGGTGGCCTGCTGGCTGGGCCGCTACAATACTGCATGTGAATACTCTCTGACTTTACTTGTTACCTAATTATCATAAAGTTTCTACATTTCCATTCTTAGTTATTCAAATGCGACGCATACATGTTATTTTTTAGAATATTTGAACTTTCATATTTTGTTAAATCTATCAAAATTTTATTATTACACCTAATAAAATTTTATTTAAATCTATCCTGACGCTATCTTAAAATAGATTTTGATAGATTTATTGACAAATTAACAAATAATCATACTCCCTTTAAAAGCACGAGTTCGGAAAATCTTTTTTAGACAAATATACCCCTTTATAGTTTGAACTACCTTATCTATAATCAAATTCTAATTTTCAATGGTCAATATTACCCTTCACTATTTTGAATATTTTATTTATATCTTAATCTATCCTAATCATAATCATATCTTATCCTAATCCTATGTGAACCATGTTTAGCTTAACAATTTAAAAAAACTAATATTAATAAAATATATAAAACATAAAAATGATATTAGTTTGTTAAGATAAAGAAATTACAAGTAGATAACATATTATAATACATGAAGTATTGTAAAAAAACCATAAAAAGTTTTAAAATTGCAGAAAAGACCCTGAAAAGTTCAAAATTATAAAACCCATCCAAATGTCTCAAAACTTAAAATAAAAAACATGAAATTAAAAAATTAACATCAGTTTGCAAAGAATTTAAAATTTACAGTTAACACCTCAATGTCTCAAAAATTATAGAAACACCCTCAAAAGTTTAAATTACAAACAAACACATTAAAATTCTAAAATTTTAAAACTTATAAACAACACAGATGAACTCAAGAGATTACCATGATACACCTAAAATTTTTAACATTTAAATTTAAATTTTTTAATTAACACCCTCAAAAGTTATTAGTAGTTTTGTATGCTTATGTGATTGCTTACATCACATAAAATTACACTTTGATATTTAACAATTTTACTATATTTTATTATTGTCTATGGATATGATCCTGTATTTCGTGAGAGACAATCGATAAAAATCTGCTTTTATTGATCCTGTGAATGGAAATATTGTCAGATAGACATAAAATACTCTTCCTGATATCTAGCACAACATGTGATCAATCATTTATGATATAAAGGTGACCTCTTTAACCAATTGGCAAAGAATTACTATTATGATGATTTTGCTTGGGGTTGTCACAAACTTCAATATTCAATGTTTTCAAAAGAAACCCCTTGACTAACTAATTATTACTTGTTGAGATTGTTGCCATGTTGAATAAGGGACCAAATTTGATCAAAATTTACTTTCATACTTTAATTAAGTTCCTATTGGGTGTTGGTGTACATATTTGAACTCAAGATAAATCTTACTTATTTAAAGTAATGAAATAAATATAAAACAATATTTTTTAATATTTAATCACGTGCATTGCACGTGCATAAAAACTAGTCATACTCCCTTTAAAAGCACGAGTTCGGAAAATCTTTTTTAGACAAATATGCCCCTTTATAGTTTGAACTATCTTATCTATAATCAAATTCTAATTTTTAATGGTCAATATTACCCTTCACTATTTTGAATATTTTATTTATATCTTAATCTATCCTAATCATAATCATATCTTATCCTAATCCTATGTGAACCATGTTTAGCTTAACAATTTAAAAAAACTAAAATATTAATAAAATATATAAAACATAAAAATGATATTAGTTTGTTAAGATAAAGAAATTACAAGTAGATAACATATTATACATGAAGTATTGTAAAAAAACCCATAAAAAGTTTTAAAATTGCAGAAAAGACCCTGAAAAGTTCAAAATTATAAAACCCATCCAAATGTCTCAAAACTTAAAATAAAAAACATGAAATTAAAAAATTAACATCAGTTTGCAAAGAATTTAAAATTTACAGTTAACACCTCAATGTCTCAAAAATTATAGAAACACCCTCAAAAGTTTAAATTACAGACAAGCACATTAAAATTCTAAAATTTTAAAACTTACAAACAACACAGATGAATTCAAGAGATTACCATGATACACCTAAAATTTTTGACATTTAAATTTAAATTTTTTAATTAACACCCTCAATATCTCAAAAATTATAGAAACACATTCAAAAGTTAGGTATTTAGTTTAGATCTTTATGGAAAATGACAGGGATAGAGCAAAGGTAATATTATTGAAATAACAGAAATTCTTATTGGATGCACATCAGAAGAATTCATTTTAGAGGAAAATAAAGAGATAGCTTCTAATTTATTTAAGTAATAAATTAGGAACACAAAGAATTTTATATATATGAAATTAATATTTATTCTCATTGAAATAGAAAAAAAATCAAAGTCTATATTTTGAGCAGTTTGTGTTGAACATCATAAGTACATTTGACTTCTTTGTAAAGTTAAATGAGATGATAAAAAATTAACGAGCCTAGGAAAGATAATAGCATAAAAAATACAAAATTAGCCTGATGTCACAATTGATGTAGATGATGAAGACAAAACTCTAGAATTATCCGAGAAATGATAAATGATAAACCTAAAGAAGGATTGATCTTAACTCAATAAAAAATAAAATAGAAGAAATAAAAACAATATTTTATGAATATTTTATAGAATAGTTTAATTATTTTGAGTGAAATTAGGAATCTTTAGAAGGGAGTTTCATGAAATTTTTTTCAGTACTTTTATATTTTTATGTGGATGTTTTTATCATATAAAAGTATACTAGAGTTAGCATTAATCTTTAATTTATATTTTTTTATGAAGTCTATCAATGATTAGGAATAAACTTCATATTCTCTTTTGCATCGTTTTAACATACTTTAAATCAATCATTTTGCCATATTGATTTTAAATATTCACCTTCCTTGTATAACACTATTTTAATATTTTTCACTTTGCAATGCTATACTTTCTCAAATAAAGCTTAGTTTCATATCGGTCAAAAATAATATAAAAATTCAAATTATTTTTAAATTATATTTGTTTTTTGTCAATTCAAATATCAACATGAAAATTTAAATTGGGTGTATCCCATTTAAACAAACATAAAAAAATAATCAGGATGTAAGAGTTTAAAGAAAAAAATGAGCACAAACTGCCAAAAATACTTAATCATGGTATTAAATCACGTGCATTGCATGTGTGTAAAATTTAAAAACTAGTGTTTGGAAAAACTTGAGTTAAGGCGCTGTATATTGGGCCGTATCAAAGAATTTGGGCCGGATTTTATACAAGCGATATAGGGCATTTAAGGATCCCATTTAATTTTTCTCCCTTTCCACTGCTCAAATAAAAACCCTAAACCCTCTTTCTAGGGTTTCTTCGATCTCAATCATCACCTCACATTATCCAAATCCTTAGCAAAGATGTCATCTTTAAAGAGAAAAACCCTAGAAGAACCAGCACCTGATCTCAAATCGCCGCCTCAAAAGTCTCAAAAGGGTAAAGAGAATGGGAACGATGAGCCAATTCGCGTCGACGAGCCTGTTGCTTGTCTCCACGACGTCTCATATCCTGAAAACTACGTTCAACCTCGGTCTCAGTCGAAGCCTTCGATCGAGAACTCGAAGCCAGCGAAGGAGTTTCCTTTTGAGCTCGATCCATTTCAGTCTGAAGCTATTAAGTGCCTTGACAGTCAAGAATCCGTCATGGTAAGATTGCTATCGTAAAAAGGTTTGCGGGGTTTTCTCTAATTTTAAAAGTTCAGTGGGTTTTAATCAGCGCAAAGTTCAGGGGGGTTATTGGAAATTTACCCTTCATCAAAACAAGGCCTTTAGCACAATTTTTTTGTACTTAGGCTCTGAATGTTAATTAATTTAGTGAAAAAGTTGAAGCCTTATAGCTTCTTAGTTTTTCCCGTATTCATTGACTTTTTGTACTACTCATACTTTATCTAAGTGTTAAAAATGACAATAACACAGAATGCACACTCAGTTCTCAATAATGTTAAATGCAAAATAACTGAATGCATAACATATGTTACATATTTTTATTTTTGTTTGAATATTTAGTATTCATAATGATTTTAATAAATACAATAAAAAAACTTTAATAATACACCACGACTATCATATATGCCATGACACTTTCTTAACCAAAATAAGTCATAAATGCTTAACAACTAATTTAAAAGTGCAAGTACTTCATAATATCCTAAATTTAAAAGCCTAATAACCATAATATCAATACAAGTAAACCAAACACAAATAGCCTATGACACATGGTCATTTACTTTTATCATTACCATGGAACTTTTCAACTACATTATTGCTTTCCTCCTAGGAGTCCATGTCCATGACTCCATGTAGTCCTCCTCCTCTTCGTCTGTCACATCGTCGTCAGAGACAATAAGCTCTTCTTCGTAGCAATTGTTGAAGGTTCTGCTTCTATCCTCTCACTTGTCCAGTTCTCTGCAGCCTTATGCCCTCCTGATATAGACTTCACCTTCCTCCAAGTAATGTTTGAAACCGGAAGAACCTCTTCATTGTAATTTGAGATGGCTCCTACTAGGATCCATGCACGTGCCCTACCACCTACTACTATCGTGTGATAGTAGCATGTCCTTGTCTTCTCTCTTTTTCTGCTTGGGCTTGGAGTTAACATCACTTACATGAACTCTCTAATCTCTTCCACTCTAATATGATTTTCATTTTTGTGTGGATCTTCAAATAAAAGAATATATTAGTAAACTCAAAGAGGAAGAACTTTGTCTTATTAAATTTGGATATTTGTTTACCTTCTCAAATGTGCTTCAATTTCTCTGGCTTTCAGAAGAATTGCTAGTTAAGAAGTTTCATCGCCAAGTTTTGCACAAGAGACCAGCTATCACCATTCAAATACCACCAACTACAAAGCAAAACTAATCAGTTGAATTCACTATTCAAACAAATAACTTATAAGTGATTTATTTTATAAAATCAATTTAATTGGATTTAGTTTCACTTTTCCACCCTTTACTCCCCAGCCCTTTCAAATGAACTGTTCCCGCTCTACACTTCTCAAACTCCACAAAGGTCTTAAATTATTGGTCCACTTGGGATAGACCAACTCTGCGGTACCTAAAAATTTGTCCTTCATATCTTTACAGCTCTTGGCTATGTTACCCGGGTACTTCATTATTGAAGCCGTACTCGTACCAGACACGTAACTGACACTTTCCCGTACCCAAACTTCATGGACACTTCTTGAATATATATGCATGCATTTATTACAACATGTACTCAATTATACGATATATGTGTTAATTTAAAACACTTGTCAAAGACTTCGTGGACGTAGAGCTTACACTTCACATCCGTCTTTTGAAACTAATGGGATACGGGTCAGGTTCGTTTCAGTCCTTACCCAAGTTCAAAACTATGTAGTTAATGAGTCGTTTAGATGTCTAGTAAAAAAATGAGTAGTTTACAATTCACAATAATCAATATGATAAAATAAACTAAAAAATGTGATCGAAATTTTAATTCTAATGACACATGAAGCGAAAATACCCAACATTTTACAGTTTTGCCGTGTCCCGTACCCGCACCCGTGCTAGTACCCGTGCCTGTTTCCATGCAACTTAGGCTCTTGGCTATATCATCCTTGTAAAATTAGTACGGGTTGAGGACGTAGAGGCCATAGGCAAGGGAAAATATAATTGATCCTTGAACTTGACCTCAATAACATCAAGCACAAGCATATAGTCCTTGTTCCTCAAAGCAACCTTAATCTTCCCCTTCATGTCTTCAAGCATTCCTACTACAGTCACATAAAGGTTACAATCCCATGAAGGGGATTGTAGTCACTGTCAACCATCCTCAACAAGTGAAACATGGGAGCGTAAATTGTCAATATCTTGCTCATAGAGTGCCATCAACTCACGCGTTTTTGCACTTTGAGCTTGCATTTCATCCATTTTCAATTGGAGAACATGAATCATAACCTCGACTTCTCATAAGACTCTGCAGAGTCAAAAGGTAGTGGCAAAGCTGGTCACTAATGCGACACATCATCAACAAGGTCTTGGGTGGTTGTAGATGAAGATGATAAAAGTCTTCGCCTTCTTGATGGTTGATCTGAAGAAGACCAGCTTCTTTGTGCATGATGCATCAGGTCACTTTATAGGTTACATAGCTGTCCAAAAGATTTCGACTTCTTCTCCTTCAAAAGCACCTTTGCCGCCATGTTCGTGAATGCATTTTCTATGACAATTGAATGAACTCTGCTCCAATGTGCTCAACACATGCATATGTTGATTCCAAAATATGCTGCCCTGTGTGCGACTTCCTTGAGCACTCAATTGACTAGTAAAAAATCATGTCTAATATGCAGTGGACTGAGCACATTTTGCTATATGACCAAGCACCGGTCATAATAGAACAACCGATCTTTCACCGCTTGTGCTTCCTCAATGAGAAGTTAGTGTCTTCTGTTGCAAGCTTCAATAATGAATCCCTCAACATATACATGCTAGCTGGTTGGCTCAGCCTACAGTCCCCTATAGAGATGCATTTCTTCATTAAAGAGTTGGTGAAGTTTACATGAAAAGGAATGACATTCTTGTATGCCCATCTAGCCTATCCCATCTAGTCCAGTGGCAGTGGACGCAATCACTCTTTTCCTTCTGAAAAAGCATTCTTCAATTTCAGATTGCTCATCTACCCCTTCAACCTCTTTGCTAGCTTGGATTGCTAGCGGTAGTATCCATCAATCAAACTATCAGTTCTCTAGATCTCTTTGATGATCTCATCTTGTAGCAAAGACAATTCCATCTCCTACAACCGCCAGATTCATCATTTGAAATAGAGCCTCGTCTTGCAAATCCATGATGTGCCTCTCATTTGTTTGCTTTTTCTTGGAAGCTGCATCCAACACTGCTTTCACCCTCTTCTTATCATTGTCTGAAATATTGGAGTACTTTCTGCAGTCCCCTTGTACACCTGCAAGATGCTTTTTTAATCTGTAGATAGATTTCTTCTTTGACTTTTTTGTCCACACAAAATGCACCATGTTTAAACTTTTGGATCGAGCAGAAGCCCAAAGCTCCCAACTGTTGTCTCCCAAAGTCCTCTTGTCTTTCATAGACGTGGGGTGATAGAACTTGCTGGCTCTTTAGGAGGAACACTCAACATTCTACATCACAACAAATAACTCACTCATCAAATCATGGTAAAGAATAAATACCAAGAAGAGGACATCAACAAACTGATTCTAAATAACACAATCAAAACTTCCTTTCTTAAGCTTAATTGCAGGACAATTACAGGACAGTAACATGAATAAAAAGAGAAACATGAACTATCTCAATTATTACTGATAGTTTAACTACATTAACATTGAATGGTATCTTAAGTTCTTAATTAGCTTAATACTTTAAGAACAAAAATTACTTAGTTCAATACTTTAACAATAAAAATTAGTTAATTAACTTAATACTTAACAAAAAATGAACAAAATTAAACCAAAGTATGTAAATCTAAATAAAAACCTAATTAGGTACAAATCAACATTAAATCCTAATCACGATGAACATGAATTGATTATTGAACAACTGTTGAACAAAAACAGAACGTACGTCAACTAGAATAAAAACCCTAATTAGGAAGAAATCGATAGTAAATCCTAATTACAGTGAAAATATCCGTAAATCTATGTTACTTGGATACTTCTATCTCGACCCGGACCCATGATATCTTGGGATACACCTTGCATGTATGCATACATGTACTTAAGCATTTACTCAATTAAAGAATACATGTTTTAATTTATAACACTTGTTAAGGTAACTCCTACACTTCATATCCACTTTTGGAAACTCCTTGGGCTCCAAACTAAGGTTTTAACAATCATTTAGGTACCTAGTTTAAAAAACAAGTTTTTTTACAATTTATAATTCACATAATAAAAGACACATAAAAAATGTTATAGGAATTTTATTGTATAATATATGTCTTTCTAAATATTTGCATAGTCATGTTCCCGTACCCTACCTTTTGCAAATTTGCATGTCTTGTATCTGTACATGTATATGCACCCCTGCAACATAGTTGTAAACCCTAAAGGAGGCGAAAAGGCCGAGAGCAGAGAAAGAAGAAAAAAAGAGGAGAAAAAAGAAGAGGAAAAGAAAGAAACAACATGAAAAAAATAATACAAATCTATCTCGACAAGACAACTAGGGCATAGTGAGGTAGCTAGATGAGGTCAGCGATGGGCCGAGTCCACAACAACAAGCTGGCAATCAATGCAAGTCGACGTGGGTGTTGAGTGGTGATGAGGGGAGGCGGAGGATTTAGGGTTTGGGAATTATTTTTGTCATCGGATGTTAGGAGTGAAAAGCGCAAGAGTGTTTTAAGTTTTGGTTAAAAAAGCTAGGTGGAGCTAAGGCGCTCTTGGCGCCTAGAAACACCTCTCAGCTCAAAACTGAGTAGGTAATGGCCCGCTTTTATAAACATTGATAAATCGTGCAAAACGAGCTATACTAATTTACTAAAAGGTATGAAAACAAAATATCAAATGTATAAGCACAAAGTAATATATGTAATTCTCCTTTTACAAATCATAAGTTTACAGTCACAAGAGTCACCAAAAAAATTAAGTTAACAACAAAATTCAAAAGTAAATACTTAAGTATTTCGACTTTTAAGTAAACGAAGTACTCTTAGGCTTTTGTGATGAATTGTGTTGAAATAATGTACGCTACATTGGAGAATAACATACAATATATTATGTTTTGCTGTATAACATAGAGTTATAATGTGACTGAGTTATTTCAAAAGGTTACTTAATGTTAAGGTTTGGTAGGCTTCATAACACGAAATTACGAGTTACTTAACTGTTTTTTAAACAATGTTTTATAGTTTGAAACAACCACTTAATAATAGCAAGAATGCCATTTACTGGTCATTTTACCAGTTGTATTTGCATATGTTTTTTGATTTTACCTGTGAGCAGCAGTGGTACATTATATAAATGGATCTACATAATTAATTATCTTTTTATTGGGTT